GAGTTTTTCAAAGCATGCCATGCACTGAATCCTTTAAACTGGGAGTCCATACACTCCCTCCTTCAAAGGGTGCTTTGTGCTGAGTACTCTACCCAGCATACTACATGCTGAGTCCTTCAAAGGGAGCTTTGTGCTGAGTCATTTACACAGGGTGCTTTGTGCTGATTTTGGAAGAGTGCTGTGTGCTGAGTCATTCCAAAGGGTACTATATTCTGAGTTCTTCAGAGATGGTTATCCCCAACATACACACACAAACACAAACACACATACACACATGAGTGTCACCATGCACCTGCTTGGTGTGTGGAGTGGAGGGGGATGGAGGAGAGTCTCCTTCAGCGGTGGGGCTGAGGGGAGATTCGATCACCTGGGCCAGTACTGTGGGTGGGGGTAGTGCTGAGCTGAGGTAAGGCTGCAATTGCCATGGTCTAGAAGCCTCAGGGCCCAGTCAGGGATGCAATTGTGGCCATGGGTGGGGGCTAGGGCCCAAGGGAGGATGGAGCGGGGCCCAGGAGCGCACTATGGTGGCAGCAATGGCCAGGAGCCTAAGGGGGCAGGGGTGTGTGTGCAGAAGGGGTGGGGTGTCCCAGGAGAGGAATGTGGGGCCCAGAGAGAGCTGGGAGAAGAGCGAGCACAAGCACTAGCAGGAGCACTAGCACCCATGGAAATGGCTTCAGTGGCTGGTGGCTGCTCTGATCATAGTGTGGGTCCTGGCCGGGAGCACAGAGCATGCAGAGCCTGCATGGCAGGCTCATAGCCACACACAGCCCCTCTTAGGCGCTCAGCCATGGTGGTCCTGAGTCTGAGGTCCCGGAGTGGGGAGCACGGCAGAGGCAGTGGCTGCTGAGATGGCGGCTGCCACAGGTTAGAAGGCCACTGAGGCTGCGGTGGTGGCTGAGGAGGAGCAGAGGCTGTGCGCAGCTCCACCATGTGCCCGCGCTGCGTTTCAAACATGGCGCTACTGGCTTGGACCCGCGGAGCCTCTAGCTGTCAACTGGGGGAGCTGGTGCACCCCTGGCCTGCTTGTGGCCCTGACTTGGTTCAGGCCTTCGGTCTTCAGACTCCAGGCGCCCACCGGAGTAGCAGCCTACAGCTTCTCCCAGCAGTTTACGTGAGTTGCCGATCTGTGCTCCCGCACTCCATGCCCCCCCCCCGCCCCGTAAACCCCGTCCCCAACTCTACCCTTCCTCCCAACCCTCGCGGACCCGGACCCTTGCCTCTTGCCTCCCCCTTCCCCTTCCTTCCTGCCTGCGCCTCCCCACCCCCCCATCCCGACAGTCTGTCCTGGCTCTGCCACAAATGCACCTCAGGGGTTGGGGGTGGAGGTGGCTGTACACCCGGGGATCCCACCCTCATCCCTAGTGGCCAGTGTTCCAGGAAAAGGGGAGCTGCAGGGATGGGGAGGTGGGGGCACCACAGAGCCCCTGGCCTGGAGCAGTGGGAGCCACACAGCTGTGCATCTGCACCCTTCCTCTCCCTGGTGGCTTTAGTCAGAGGTGGGGAGCTGCACCTCCACACCTGCCTTCTCGGTTCTTTTCCCTTTTGCTGGGCAGGGGGGTGTTGGATGCAGAATATAGACCCCCATGCTGTGTGAGCCCTTGTCTTCTGTGCTCAGTCACCCTTTCACCTGAGGACATTCCCAGAAGAGCCCACTAGAGAGGTGAGGGCACTGGAGTCAGATAGATGGTGGGTATTTGGAAGAAAAACACAGCCCCTCTGAAACACATACAACCGGCCTGTACCCCCAACCCCAGCATTCAACAGTTCTGACTGGGTGATCACATTTCCCAGTTCTGCCAGCTTCTGCTAGTGCTCCCAGTCCATCTGGTCCCCTTGTCCTCCCCAAGAATCTGCCAAGTCGCCCCGAAGTATGTAGGCTGGAAGTAGGGAGTCCATCCATGTATATAGCCTTTAGGACCTCATCAAAGTCCCCAACAACGCCCCCACCCCAGGTCAGACACCTCTTTGGAGGCACCATGACCCCCTGCTTTGTTTTCTGTCCAGGTTCTGAGGAGCCACATGTCTTGGGACTCCTTCACCCAGAGTCCTAGCCTAGGGTTTTGGGGGAGTCAAGGCTGGTTGTTTCCAAAGGGAAGGGTCTGGCCCTGGAGAAAGGGGGAGGAGCATTGTTCCCCTTGGGTGGTTGCCCTGGTTCTGACAAGGGAACCCCTGTGCTTGAGCAGGTACATTGCCCAGATGAGAGACCTCTGAGTCTGTGTGTTTAGGTGTGTATGAGAGAGAGATAGAGACAGAGAGAGAGAGAGAGAGAGAGAGAGAGAGAGAGAGAGATCACCTTTCTCATTGTACAGTCAGCATGTCTAAAAAGATCAAAAGCATTTTTTGGGAGGGGGGTCCGGTTGTGGGGTCTGAACTCTGGGCCTGTGCGCTGTCCCTCAGCTCTTCAGCTCAAGGCTAGCTCGCTACCACTTGAGCCACAGTGCCACTTCCGACTTTTTTCTTTTTGCTTACCTGGTGCTGAGGAATCGAGATAAGGGCCTCGTGCATGCAAGGCAAGCGCTCTACCACTGAGCCACCTTCCTAGCCCGAGCGAAAGCATTTTATTTGTGTGCATGTGTGTATTTGTTGTTCTTTTTTCATTAATGCCCAGTATGAGCCCAGCCACAATTTTTGTTTTCTCTTTCACAGTGTCATGGCTCCTTTAGAGAAGGTTTCATTAGATGTTCCTTCCCACCACTTTCTTCCCCTTTCCTGCAGCCCACAGTAACTGCTGGGCCTGCGTGGGTCTCCCCTAGGAGGCCTGTGTGAACCACAGACTAGCGTGGATACCTGCCCTTCTGTCTTTAGCCAGAAGGCTCATGAGGCTACTGTGACCACAGCCCCACTCTTCCAGCCAGACAGTCTGCTCTCATGTGTATAGTTGTAGCTAATTCAAAGTTGGGAATGTGTCTGCCAAACATAATTAGGGAAGGAGATAGGGGGTGTAGGGCAGAGGCTGTGAAGCTAGGAGGGTCTGGGAATTGATGAACGGTGTGACATGGCAGATGGTTCACCACGACCGAGGATGAGAGGGGAATCTTACCCAGGGCATTGACGGTTTCCATGGGCATTTGAGCAGGGGGCTCTGGGCCCCCAATGGTGGCATGGATTTCCTCCCAGGGCAGTGCACTGGTGGGCAGTCCTCCCTGGAGTCCTGCAGACTCCAATCTGTGTCCCTCTTGAGCTGGGCAATGGTAGGCAAGTGTGTTCTCCCTGCTGGAGCCTGCTTGGTATCAGGACATGGCAGTTAGCTAAGGCTCTCTGAATGCCATTTTCTGTATCCTGCTGTAGGCTGTCTGGAAGGAAAAGGGGACTACTGATTTTGGAACCCATTAAGTTTGATTGGGACAAGTGAAATGCCAGCTTTTCCAGGGTTCTTTCTTGAAGCTCAAAATTTCCAGAAACGTCTGGGATTCGGTGTCAAATTAGACAGACCATTTCAGCCACCAAACAATGATGTTCAAAGCAGCACAGGCAGAGTTCTCAAGCCAGATGGTTTCCTGCTACGAATGTCGTGCCTTGACTGCCTTTCTCTGGCAGCTGCTGAATCTCCTCTGGCTCTCTCTAGGGTGACCACCATAGTTGAGGATGTCTTGGGGAGCAGAGATTATGACCTTGCCATCCACAGTCTGCCAGCTCTGAGCAGAGACAATTCCGAGCACCTGCACTGGAATCTGGGAGTTTCAGAGACCTGGGATGCCTCAAGGATCCTTTCTCTGCAACATGAAAATTGGGGGCCGGATATAGTGGACCATCCTGTCTGCCCCAGGGAGTGGGGAGGAGGCCCCTTGACCCTGTCATTCACCTCACTACAACCTTGTTCAAACTTGAGTGGGGAATGGAGTGCCACAGAGCTGGTCAGTGGCTGGACAGAGATCTTTGAGAAGATAGGCATCCCAGAGGTCCTGGAATCCAGTGAGGACATCATGGCTCACGTCCTTGGAACAAAAACAGTTAAGTGCAGTGGCACCAGGAGGGTTTGAAGAGGGAGGAGGGAGAACCGTTGGAGAGCTACATCAGGCTTTGCCTCCACCCAGGATGCTTACCTGAATTAGATGGGATTTTTCTGTAGTATTTTCATAGACAGATGCTCATTTATTTATTCAACAAACTGTTACATTGTGTGCCAAGCTCGGGGGGAGGGAGGCGGGTCATACACGATGAAAGGTTCCAGTGCTGGTTCCACAGCACATGAAGAAATCTTGGTTTGAGCTGGTAACCATTGCTTCACTCCTGTCATCCTAGCTACTTAGGAGGCTGAGATGGGAGGATTGAGGCTTAAGGCCCAGGCAGGAAAGCCTATCAGACTCTTATCTCCAACTAACTACCAAAAATAAAATGCCAGAAGTGGATGAGTGGCTCAAGCCATAGACTGTTGGCCTTGAGTAAAAAGGCTCAGGGACAGCACCCAGGCTCTGATTTTAAGGCCCAGGAGTGACGCAAAGAGAGGAAAGAGATAGAGAGGAGGGAAGGAGGGAGGGAGAAAAGGAGGAAAGGAAGAAGAAGGGACCATGCAGGCCTTGGTTTGGAGTTCCTGGATCAAGGGAGTCAACCATTCACAATCTCAGTGGGGACAGTTTCAGAGCCTAAAGCAAGTATGTAGGACCAAGCCACTGTCCCTTCAGTAACTTCATGACATCCAAGATCTGAGTGGTCGCTGACTGCAGAGGGAAACAGCCTCTGGTAGACCCTAGGGTTCAGTGTGGGTCACGGAGTTTCAATCTCCCCTGGCTCACCGAGTTTATTTTCTGGCCAGATAAGAAGAAAGTGTCCAAAGGCTAGGGAGGATAGGGTGAGGGAGTGTCCAAAAGGGGGTTTCAAGGGATAAGCAGAAAGATGAAGAGGGAGGATGATCCCAGATCAGGTGTGTCAGGCCATTGAAGCCATGACATCACCTAACAACCTAGACCATCAGTGATAGAGCCTTCAACCCAGCCACATGGCTATTAAAAGTCCTGGCACTCTGGGTTCACCGTTGACCACCTCGCTGTCGTCCACTGCAGGATGCCTGTGCAGTACATCCTTGGGGACTGGGACTTTTGTTGGCTCAATCTGAAGATGACACCCCCAGTGTTCATTCCTCGACTAGAGACAGAGGAAACCAGGCCACTGGCACAGGACAGCCAGGGAATGAGGGCAGGATTCAGACCAGTGTTGCTCTGAGACTTCCTCTAGGGGACTTTGGGCCCCGTGACTGCCTTTCTCAGAGGTAGAGGTGGGTCTCCTTGCTGGCTCAGCCTTTAGTCTAGATGGCAGGTGTGGGCTTTAGAGAGGGTGGACTGATGGTCGAGGCTTTTGAGAAAACCATAGGCACTGGGCTCTGAGCAGGGTTGTTTCTTTGAGGATACTCAAACCCAGGAATATTAGAGATGGATCAGCCCTTTTCTCCTTCCCAAGAGAGAGGGACCTAGAGCCCTCCAGTCTGCATCCCTTGGCTGAGAAATTCATTCATTCCCATATCCTTTGGTTGGATAACTTGATCTCACCTGTCTGCCTAGTGTCAAGGCAGGACAGTGAGAGATCTTGAGTCCTTGATGAGGTCACCGGATTCTCAGTATGAGATTGTACTTGAATATCCGGAGTTGGTGCATGGTCAGTCCCATCTAAGACTGCCATGACCTAGGACGTAGAATCTAGAGACTCAGAGCAGGATGGGGTCTATTCTGTTATTCTTGATTATTATGTGTGAGCTTTGAGCTCCCCTGTGCTCACCTGCTTCCCTTTTTTGGGTGGGTCTATGCTCGAAAAAGCTTAAAACTAGGGCCTTGGTCCCATCCCTTGTTTCATGCTCAAAGCTAGCACTCTACCATTTGAGCCATAGCTCCACTTGCAATGTTTTTGGGTGTTTAATTCGAGATAAGAGTTCTCAATGACTTTGCTGCCAAGAGTGGCATTCAATTGCAGTCGTTAGACCTCAGTCTCCTGAGGGGATAGGATGATAGGCATGGAAAAGCATCTTTGGCCGGGTACCAGTGGCTCATGGGTGTCATCCTAAGTACTCAGGAGCTGAATCTTAGAATCACGGATAAAAGCCAGCTTGGGCAGGAAAGACCCTCAGACTCTTCTCTCCAATAAATCACCAGAAAACCGGAAGTGGTGCTGTGGCTCAAGTAGTACAGTGCTGGACTTGAGCCGAAGAGCTCATGGATAGCACCCAGGCCCAGAGTTCAAGCCCCACAACCAACAAAAAGAAAGAAAGTAAAACATCTTTGCCTGCAAAGGACGGTGAAGGTGTGTTTGTGTGTATGTGTCTGTGTGTGTGTGGGTGGTGGTGGTAGACATTTAGTATCCCGCTCAGTCATCATTTTAGATGAATTGTCCCAAACTCTTAGTTCACGGCAGCCGATTCTTGACCACAGGTGAAGCTCTGGGTTGGATGTTGACCATCGGACCTCAGTCTCCTCATGGGAAATAAGGGACTATCACAGAGGGATCTTTGGAGCAGTGCCAGGCACAGAGGGAGCAGGTGTCAGATACAGTTCTCAACAATTCTGTGATTATATGTCAGGAAGTTACCAGAAAGGGCTCAGATGGGGTCTGTTTTTAATAGTGCAACAGGTGTGGGAATATGAAACAAAACCTGTCTGTCTTTCATCATTACCCTATTCCCATGAGGAAGGGGATTCTTCACTGTATTCAGTCTTGCAGCTGGGGAAAATGAGTCATGGTGAAACCAGGTGAACTACTCATGACCCCCAGCCAACAGGAAGCTCGGCCTGATTTCTCTGCCATGCTTCCTAGGACAGTGGGTGTTATTCAGTCCACTTCTTGTGGTGGGAAGTACACTTCTTATCATTTGTGGGGTTTGAATTCTGGATCTGGATACTGTACCTGAGCTCCTCAGATCAAGGCTAGCGCTCTACCACATGAGCCACCGCATCACTTCCATTTTTCTGTTGGTTCTTTGAGGATAAGTGTCTCACAGATCTTCCTGCCAGGTCCAGCTATGAGCCATGATCTTCACATCTCAGCCTCCTGTGTACTTAGGATTATAGGCCTGAGCCACTAAGCACCTGGCTTAAGTGTAATTCTGGTCCTCTCTCTCTCTCCATCTCTCTTCCCTTCCCCCCTCCCTCTCCTTCTCTCTCTCTCTCCCTCTCACTTTGTCTCTCTAGGGAACTGGTAGAATGGGTGCTGGAGGAGGTAGTCCAGCATCCCCATGTGGCTGGAACCCACAGTGACCCTCTCATTCTGGAGGTGGGCTGTGATTCAGGAGCAGTTTTGCTCAGCCTGTTGAACCAGCTTCATGAGGTAAGCCCCTCCATGCTACGGCTAGACCATGACGGTTATTCTATGTCCATCCCATGAGTCCTTCCCCACATCCCTCTGCTACACCGTTGAAGGAAAGTGGATGAGAAGGTGTTGCCTTTCCCCCCTGCCCAGCACAATCCTGGGCCTCTGACCTATACCTCCACCTATCTGACAAGACCCTGGCTATAAGACAATAAAAACACTCCATGTGTACTACCCTTTGCTGGGGAGTGTCGTTTTGGTTAGGGTGGCGGGGTTCAGAGGAAAGACCCCAGACCTGACACCTCCCGGGGGCACATTTGTTCTTGTGACAGAGCCAAGTCATTGCTGTGGATAAGGATGAAGCCTCCATCAGACTGACCCAGAACAATGCTCAAAGATAGGTAGGCTGTTGAAGTATCAAACCCACTCATGTTTGCTTCCTTCTCCCAACAAGGAGGTGTAGTGTGGGTAGCCTGGCCCTGGGCCTAAGGGATTATAAATGGATGGTGGCAGTCAGGAGCTCATGGCTCCCACTTATCATCCTGACTCTTTGGGAGGCTGAAGTGTGATGGTTGTGACTCAGAGCAGCCCAGGCAGGAAAGTCTGTGAGATTCTTATCTCCCATAAACCACCTCCCTCTCCAAACCCACACTTAAGCCAGATGTGCTGTGGCTCAAGTGGTAGAGCCTCAGCCTTGAACAAAAGATGCTCAGGGATAACACCCAGGCCTTGAATCCAAGTCCTAGGACTAACACAATCATAAAATAAGTGAACAGTGTGCACCTTTTATCTGACGACCAAGAAAGATGGATACTGTCTTCTGCTGGTACTTGTAGCCAAAGGCAAGGGGCTTCCCTTGATATTCCCCTAAACCTCTCCTTCTCTCCTTTATCTGTCCAGGCTTAGGCTGCCAGACAGAATTTGGATCATCCCCCTTGATGTGACCTTAGGTACCCCCCCACCTTCCTTGGGGTCAGGATCCTGGATGCACTCCCTGCTGGGAGGATGAGGCACCACAGAGATGAGGGTAGGTATCCCGGACACTTTACACACACACACACACACACACACACACACACACACACAAACACCCCTAAGCCAACTCAGACTAGCCTTTTCCAAAGACACTTTATCTCCTTGGATTAACTGACCTAGGAGAGAATTTTGATCCCCTGTAACTGATTATTTTAAATTGGGCTTGCTAGTTGACAGGAGATAAATAGGAGCAAAAAAAAGCCGTTGGTGCCCATCACCTGAGGCTCAGGCTCATGCCTGTCATCCTGGCTACTCCGGAGGCTGAGGTCTGAGGATCACAGCTTGAATCCAGCCATAAGCTGGAAAGCCCGTGAGACTCTACTCTCCATGGAACCACCAAAAAGCTAGAAGTGGAGCTGTGGCTCAAGTGGTAGAGCATCAGCCTTGAACAATAAAACTCAGAGAGACAGCTCCCAGATCCTCAGTTCAAGCCCACACAAAGAAATGGCCCCATCTTGTTGCCCACAGATTGCCTGGGCCTCGAGTCCCCTCTCATGGAGTGTGATACAAAACCTGTCCCTGGGTGGTGTATCAGGGCCTTCAGAAATCTGGGGGTGGAATCCAGGCTTTCCCTTTGTGCACTGTCAACCCACATTGGCTGGAAGACAGAGCCTTACAAGGCTGGCAGCCTGCAGAGTGGAGAGGCTCCAGCTCTACCAAGGTGATCGGAATGGTCTTCTTGGAGGCAGCACTTGAAAAGGGGGTCTTGCTTAAGTAGGAGGATCTGACAAGAAGCACAGAGAGCAAAGGTGCTGAATATGATGGACAACACAGCAGAGCATGTTCATTTCCAGCCAGGGCTGCTGGTGAGAGACTCGGTATAGATGTGTGACTTGGTATAGATGTGCCAGACTGTCCCTATACAGGTCTAAGGGATCATAGAAGAACAGCTATCTAGGGCTGGAATTGTGTCTTAGAGGTAAAGGGCTCATCAAGCTCGCAGGAAAGCACAGGTTGGATTCCTAGGTCCTGCATACACAGAAAAAGCTGGAAGTGGCACTGTGGCTCAGGTGGAAGAGCCCTCCCCTGAAGACAAAGAAAGTCGGGGACAGCGCCGGGGGTCCCGATGTCAGGCCCCAGGGCTGTCACCATAAAACAGTTCTCCCAGGGACCTTTGTGACAGGTTGATGGGTATGCCCTGAAGCACTTAGTAGATGCATCTGTGCTTTGTGTCTCCTTTGACAGAGGGGAGCTGGATACTCCTTTTGCCCTGGGCACCCCTGGATCCAGTTACCAGCAACCCTCCCAATGTCTTCCACCAGGACATGGAGCAGCTGGCCCCAGAAATCCTCAGGTACAGGTTGGGTGGGGCAGGAGGATATAGGGCAGGCCACAGAACTCCTTGTGGGTCTGATCTGGCCTGGAAGACCAGGCAATCAGGAGGAGGCAGATGGGAGCTTAGAGAGGGCTAGTGATGTGAGGGGGCCCTTTAATCCCTATGGCCCCACCCAAATTCTGAGCCTCCCTTTGCTGTCCCTGAGGGAAGTAGAGGGGTGTCTAGGTGGTAGCTTCTAGAGGAGGAGTAGGTGGAAATTCTGAAGGACTAGACACCTTAAGCCAGTCGTTCACCCCTCTCATCCCACACTTGTCATCCTGGCTACTCGGGAGGCTGAGATCCAGAGGATCTCATTTCCCAACCCAGGCAGGAAAGTGTCATGAGAGGCTCATCTCCAATCCAACTGGAAGTGGCACTGTAGCTCAAGTGGTAGAGCACTGGCCTTGAAGAAAAATCAACCTCAGGGACAGTACCCAAGCCCTGAGTTCAAGCCCTTCAACCAAAAAAGAAGAAAAATAAAAGAAAAAAGGAAAAAAAAACAGGAAAAAAAGAAAGGCATCCCTTCCTTGCTTGCAAGAGATGTTGAAGCAGTGGGGTTGCTATGGTTGGGAGACCAGATGCTGGCCTCCCCAGGTTTGCCCCAGTATGAAGCCATAACAGGGTGGGTGGTGCCTTACCAAGAACTCCAGAGGTTGTGGCCTGTGGTAGGCAGGGAGTGGGTGAATGGGAGCAGGGGTGGGATGGCAGTGTCAATTATATGCTCTCCATTCATGGAAGAATGGTGACAAAGTCTGAAGTGTAGGGTTACATGTGGTTTGTGTCTTGATGAGTTGAGTTTTCTCTTGGTATTAGAAGGTGGCTGAAGCCAGTCGTTGCCGGTGGCTCACAACTGTCATCCTAGCTACTCAGGAGGCTGAGATCTGAGGATCGTGGTTCAAAGCCAGCTTGGGCAGGAAAATGTGTGAGACTTTATCTCCAGTGAACCACTGGAAAGCCAGAAGTGGTACTGTGGCTTCCGTGGTAGAGCGCCTACCTTCAGCTCAAGAGCTAAGGGATTGCGTGCAGGCCCAGAGTTCAAACCCCATGACTGACAATCAAAAATAAAATAGCTGAGTTTTCTGCATAGTGGTATGTACATTTAGGAAATGCCAAGATGTGTTATGAGCCATTCCAGATGTGAGAGATGTCCTGAGTTTTGTCTCCACTTGGTCTGAGGATGTTAGTGCCATCTTCTTGGGTGTGGGATGTTCAGGGTGCTCAGGGACTGCTGAGGCTTTGGGCTAACCGTGTGTGTGTGTGTGTGTGTGTGTGTTTCCTTCATCTCTCTCTGTCTCCTTCCTGGGTGCCTGTCTGCCTCTTTCTGATGTTGGATGGTTCCCCTCCTCCACACTTGCCCTTTAACCCCCTATCAGGGTCTACAATGAATCCTAAATTGCCAGAGGCCTGCATTCCAGTTTTTTTTTGGGGCCTAAGTCTGGCCTGTCCAAATCTTTGGGCACCTCCAGGGGATTCTGGATTCTGGGTCAGCATGGCCAGCTAGCATAGGGTCTCCCCTGCCACTGGGAGGCCTCAGTCATACGATGTCCTGCATTTTCCTCTGCTGGGTCTCTGGCTGCATGTCCCTCCCTGCACGCTGGCAGTGGAGTGGGGGATGGAAGTTTTCCGGTAGCTCTGGCCAACTCGAGCTTGATAGCTGACTGAAGGCCGCTCAAGCAAGGAGAATCCGGGGCTACATGTGAGGTGAGGCCAAGGTGGCTTGGAAATATCCGTCAGTGTCTAGGAAATGTCAACATACCTTGTCACAGGAAAGTCTATTCCCCCCCTTCCCCACAAGCTTGGCTGCTCAGGTCCTTCTAGACAATTCTGGATGCCCAGAATACAGATGGACACACTTTAGATTCTAGGTCCAGGGAACTGGGGCATGAGAGACTAGTATGGCCAATACCTCAATGTTCTGGGGCATTAGCCTTGACCTGGCTATGACCCCCCTTGTTGTACGTTCACTTCTTAATCCAGTGCTGACACCACACCGGCCACTTGTGGCAGTGCTTTGAAAGTGGCAGGAGTGGAAGTGAGATCCAGGGTGACCAAAATCTGGATTTATGGCCTGATTGGGGGTGAGGTGGTGGCAAAGGTTGTCTTAAAAAAGTCTTAGAGCTGGAACTCAGGGCCTAGGCACTGTCCCTGAGCTTCCATTGCTCAAAGCTAACACTCCACCACTTGAACCACAGCTCACCTTTCATCTTTTTTAGTAGTTTAGTAGAGAGAAGAGTCTCACGGACTTTCCTGCCTGGGCTGGCTTTAAGCTGCCATCCTAAAAGCTCAGCTTCTTACGTAGCTAGGATTGCTGGTATAAGACATTGGGACCTACTAAGGATGTTTTTGTGTGTGCTTTGTGTGTATGTGTGTGTGTGTGTGTGTGTTTGTGAATTTACCAGGGCTTGAACTCAGAGCCTAGGTGGTATCCTTTAGCTTGTTAACATAAGATTGGTGCTCTACCACTTGAACTACAGTACACTTCAGCTCCCAGAAGCCCCTGACTATGTGGAGAACATAAAGCTCAAACCTGATCATATTTCTTTGACCTCAGGGAAGGGTATGATTCCTCTGCAGTCTGGAGGAGTAGGGGTGAAGTAGGAGGGGTAACTGTAGATGGGTGTTAGGCTGGTAGAGAGATAATCTGTCTTTAGCCAAGAAGGATAGTGATAGCTCAAGCTCTCATTTTCCTAGCTACTCAGGAGGCTGAGATCTGGGCCAGGAGGGGCAGAAGCTGCAAGATGGCACGGCAGGTAATGCCCGCTCATGCAGGGATCACAAGAGTGCAAATCTGTCAGGCACACCTTGGGGGAGGGGTGTTGAGTTAGGCTCATGAAAGACTTGTGTGCTCACAAATCCACCAACCGCCAGCTGGCTCCTACTTCTAGCAGCAGCCTGGAGTCCCAGGGCTCAGAGCCCTTCTTTCCTCACCAGTGCTTGGGGGCAAATGAAGGTCTGCAATCATGGGCCAACTACAAAAGAGCATGCGTAGTGTTCTTTCATTTGGTCCTGTGGCCCCATGCATGGATGGAGGGGCGGGTTCCCTGGAGCTTACTGCCTTGGCCCAGACCCCTCAGCCCAAGAAGGACTTAGGGAGAAACCACATGATCTGGCTTAAGAGTTTACTGTGACTATGCCTCAGGACTGCCCCCAGTTCTGGCTCAGCTCATCATTACCACCTTCCTGTGTGTGTGGGTGCATCTTGGTACTAGGGCTTGAACTCAGGTCCTGGGCTCTGTCCCTCAGTTTTTTTCATTCAAGGCTAGCACTCTACCACTTGAGTCCGAGAAGAATATGTCTCACCAGGCTCACTTTTTTTTTTTGCCGGTCATCGGGCTTGAACTCAGGGTCTGGGCATGCTCCTGAGCTTCTTTTGCTCAAGGATAGCCACAGTGCCACTTTTGGCTTTCTCTGTTTCTGTGGTACTGAGAAATTGAACCCAGAACTTTGTGCATGCTAGGTAAGCACTCTACCACTAAGCCACATTCACAGCCCAAGGCTGAATTGTAACTGGAGTTATGAGGGTGGGATTTATTGGCTTACCCCATTTGGCATAGAAATCACTGACTATTTCATATCTTTGCCGAGATTTAGGACCAGTCTATGACTCGGCAATGAGGAATGATGAATGAATGAGAGCCACCAGGCCCCAGAGGTCTAGGTTCACATACTACAGAGGGATAGAGAATATGGATCCAGAACCTTCGACCACTCCTACAGCCTAGCAACTCTGAGGGCTTTTCCCAGCTTGCCCAAGTTGGGTGGGCTGAGCATGGACAACCTGCTGAATGCCCATCATTCATATATCATCCATCCATACACAGAGACATGGAGTTACTGCTGTCTTTTTTTGGAGGGGGGGGCAGGTCTGGGGTTGAACTATGAACCTAGGCCCTGTCCCTGAGTTCCTTTTGCTCAAGGGCAGTACTCTGCAACTCGAGTCACGATCCCACTCATGTTTTTGTTGTTGTTGTTGTTGTTTTTCCCTGTGATCTCTTAGAAATGAGTGTCGCCTACTTTCCTGCCCTGGCTGAGTTCAAGTTGGCATTCTCTACATCTCAGCCTCCTGAGGAGCTAGGATTACAGGCAGGAGCCGCTGACACCTAGCTTTCTTTTCTTGTTCTTTTTTAAACCATGACAATCTGAAATCTTCACCGGGTCATTCCAATGGTTTGCATTCGAAGTAAACTACCCTGGAGTTTGATTGCTAGGATTGCCACCCACAAATGGAGGGAGACCCTGACAAACTCATTCCTATTCGTGTGAATGCTAATGAAATATTATAAAAGTAATAATTAAATTTGCAGTTAATTCATGATTCTATTTTAGAATGCTACACAAATATTATTGGATTTATATCTTCCATTCTAGCACCATGTTATGATTCCCCTAATTGAAGGATTTTGACTAATTTTTAATTAATGCTTGTATAAGTATTCAACCATGATACTTCATTAAATGGTGGCATAATGTAATAACTAATAATTGGTAAGAACATATATATATAATTTAATAATATCCTCACATTCCCTCCCTCAGTATATATCTATATATATACTTATATATATACACACACACATATATACATATACATATCTATTAATGTATATATTGGGCACTACTGTGGCTTGATCAAAGGTCTTCAGAACTTCCTGGCAGCTCTGTTTTCTGGAGGCTGGTGTGCTAAGACTGTGACCCCATTTATGGATTGGGCATTGTAGGCCATGAGTTGAAATCCCAGCAAGGCCAAAAATTTATTCGTGGAGTAAGAAGCCAACTTTGACACATATTTTTTCCTTCTGTGTGAAAGTCCTGGGTCTCAGTATAATGTATAATCCAAATGCAAATATAACCTAGGTGATATGATGTAATAAATGAAGTTTTATATGTGTAACAATGCTAACTAAATAAGGGTAGTAAACGCCATACGTAGTAAACCCATGTATGTAAATAGATCTCATATATGAATATTATTTTTTCCAGTGCTGAGGCTTGAATTCAAGCCCTGGGACCAGATCTGAATTTCTTATCTTCAAGGACAATGCCACAGAGTTACCCAGACCCTGAGTTCAAATCCCAAACCTGCCAGAAAAATGGTGCAAATTCCAAGTCAGGGCCTTATTATTTATTTTATTTTATTTTAGCCAAGCACTTAGGTCTTGGCACCTCTGCCACAGCTGACCGTGGGGCTGGCAAAAAAAAATAAGGAGAAGTATAAAACTGAGAAGTTCAAGGGGGTGGTTTTACTAATTTTTTTTCCTTTGTGTTGTGACTATCCTGGGTCTAAATGACAAGGCCCAGAAAGTGCATATGGCCTTGCATTGCTGATGTTTGGCAGGCTATTAGGGAAGCCATAGCCAAAACTGGTGACCTAGGCCTGGAGGTCAAATCCCAGGACTGCCACTAATGAATGGTGGGAGGTTCAAAGAAATACATTCTGACGATACATCCGTACAAATGGAATGTTATAAAAGTAACAATTAAATTAGAAGTTTGTGTATGATTTTCATATCATAAGATTATACACAATTATACTACATTAACTAATTTTCAATTACTACTTTATTATGTATTCAATCATGATACTTAAAAAAGGAAGGAATAATTTAGTTGCCAATAGTAGTAATATCGTATATGCAATTTCATAATATACAGACATCTCTCTTGTTTTATACATATACATCTATCTGTCTATCTATCTATCTACCAATCTACACGTTTATTTGTTTATACACTTGTCACTTCTGGGGCTCAGTGGTAGAGTGCTCCCCTAGTACATACAAAGCCCTGGTTTCTATTCCTCACTACCACATGCACAGAAAAATTCACAAGTTGTGCTGTCACTCAAGCAGTCAAGCACTAGCTTTGAGCATAAAAGCTTAGGGACTGTGTCCAGACACTTACTCAAGACCCAAGACTGGCACCAAATAAAAGAATTTTCTGAGCACAATGATATAAGGATAGGACTGCAAATACCTCATCACAGAGCAAGCTGGGAGTCTGGTGCTGACAGCTGCAATCTAACCTGACTTAGCCAGAGGTAAACCACTGCAACCCAGCTCCATGGAACCAGATGCTGCTGGCTCATTCACCCCTGTCATCTAAGATACTCAGGGGCTGAGATCTGACACTGGTGGGTTTAAAACCCAGCCCTGGCAGGAAGTCTGAGAAACTCTGAGCTGTGGCTCAAAGTGTTAGAGCTCTAGCCTTGAGCTAAAGATCTTAGGACAGTAGTCCCAACTTTGAGTGCAATCCCCATGGCTAACTCCCCCCCCAAAACCCCCACCCCTTTAAGCCATTAGATATGAACTTTGTACAGTTTGTGAAGTGTTTCTGAAAGAATGGTGATACTGATGAAAACACCCTAATTCTAGACAGCTTGTGGGATACAGCTA